AAGGACGAGAAGAAGGAGGAGGCACGGCGACGCCGCAGAGGGCCGCGAGCCAAGGTGCGCACTGCACCCACGCCGCCTCCAGCACACCGCCATACTCACCGCTGCCTTGTGATTGTCTTGCTGTGTAGCCTGTAAATTACTGCCGCAGGAAGAGGAAGAAAGAAGAGGAGGGCACGGTGCACAGGAGGCAGCGGAGGGGAAGTGAGAGCGCCAGTGGGGGCGCGTACGGCACAACGGCAGCGCAATACAAACAAGGCTTCCCGCAGGCCACGGCGGGGACCACGCATGCATTGGCACCAGGGCCGCGGATGCACCCGGCAGCCGCGCGTGGTTGGCGCGGAGTGGGGCGCAAAGGAAAGGAACTAAAGAAAACATGCAGGTAAACAAAAAGGAAAGCAGGCAGAGCCGAACGCAGCGTGCCGCTCTCACACCCACCCGGCATCCCGTGCGTCAGCCACCAGCGCCGCACGAGGCACGCGCAAGGCCAGTGGACCACACATGCTGCATTGCGAAAACCGTCACGGGGGGACGGAGCACAACTGCCGTGCCGTCGCGCGTGGACGCCCATTGTGTCGTTTTTGTTGCTCAGTGTGTGTCTGCCGCGCGACGTCCTTCCACATCAACTTACACCGACGCCATTTGTTTCCCCCCATCGTAACTATTCTGCCCCTGCACACGGAGCCCCATCACCCTTCTGCGATGGGGTTGCAGCAGTGGCACCTTCGCCGTCGCGCAACGGATGCAGAGGTTGAATTCGGGCTCGCTTGCCGCATCCGTTGCCTCCGCAGGGATGTTGCCGAAGAGACTCAGCTAGCGACCGGCGTTCTTTAACACAAAACCCTCCACCGTCTCCGAATGGGAGTGCGAAGCCGAAGAAAAACGAAGTAAACTATAAAAATAATGCCGCCCCCTCCTCCGGCAAACCGGCGGCGCCATCCGCACCGTTGCTGGTCAAGGGCAGCTCAGGGCCTGCCAGAACGAAGAGGTCGCCAAGGAACCGGGCGAGCGGCTGGCCAAAGTAGGGCCCGGGTGCCTCCAACCCCTCCAGGCCGAAGTTGGCCCGTCGGGTCGCAAGAACCGGGCAGGAGAGGGCGTGCCCCGACGTCCCCTCGCACAGGCCGTTGCGAAGCCACGGCGCGCTTTTGTGCTTTGACCCGCCCCTGTCTTGGAAGCTGCCGGCAAGGGCGCCCTCTGTGTGCGCAAGCCGCGACAAAGGGTTGGGGGGCGGTGCAGACACTGCGCATTTCACGCCGAGGAAGTCTCGGCATGGACTCCTCCGTATCCTCTTCACGGCCATCGCAACTCCTCCTATTGGGGCGCTGCCGTTGCACACGCATGAGCAACCTCGGGCGCGCGTTGTGCCGTGAAAAGGGTGGGCGCCTTCGGCGGAGATGGGTGCTTGCGGGTGGCGTCGGGTCGCGTGCCGCTGGCAATGCGCGCCGGTAGTGCGTCGCGTAAACCACACGAATTCTCGCAGCGCGTGCAGAGGGAGGCGCCCCCCCCACCACACACACTCACTTTTTTTTTGTATGTCTTTGCCTTCGAGGGGTGCATTTGTTCCCCCCCAGCGGGGCTGGCGAGGCCGCTGGGCGAACGCCACGCAT